GCCAGGGAGCCCGCGGCGGGGGGAGCGGAGCCAAACTGGGGGTCTCCTCCCGCACCTCCGCGCACGAGCCCGGCGCCCCCGCGCCTCCCGCCGCCGGCACCGGCCACGACCCAGACACCGCGATTGTGCCATGAAGGCAAATCATTATTCCTTACACATGGCTCCTCCCCGAGGGAGCTGGGGGATGCAGCCGGAAAAAAAAACCCGTAAGTAAATAAAAGGCTTGTCAGGAGAGAGAGGCATAATTAGCCAAAATTAATGCCAAGCACCAATTATTATCGTGACTCCAATAATGCTGTCCTTGGGTCAGAGCCAGAAACCTTCCCACTTCCGGATCCCGGAGCCACTGCGGGGAGGCGACAGGCCTGAGCATTTGAATGCCCAGAATTTGGGGCCATAATACTTTGCCCCAAAGAAGATGTTGCCTCCAGAGATATTTGTCTCCTATTTATAATCCCTGTCCCAGCACAAAGCCCAGGGCGTCCCCCGGGCTCAGCTGTTCCTCCCTCCACTCTGAACACTGACAGTGTGCTGTGCGGTTCCCCTCGGGCTTTGTGTGTCTGCTGGCTCTGTGGGTGGTTGTTTCAACATCTTGTCTCCATGTTGGTGAGACTTGAACCTGCCCCCAAGAACTCCTGGCTGGGACCCAGGGGCGAGGGCCTCCCGATCTATCCCAAGCAATGCATGCAAACCCTAGCTCACTGGATGGCGCTCCCTGCAGCCGGGTCAAAATACCCCAAGTGCCATTCATTCACTCACTCAGTAAATGACTATGGAATATTTGCTCTGTGCCAGGCACTGTTCCAAACCCCAGAAAACTGTGGTGAACAAGAGGAGCCTTCCCTGCCCCTGGAGAGCTCACAGTCTAAAGAGGAAAGCAGACAAATGGTAAACAAACGAACAAGATCATTCCAGAGAGCCGTCAATGTCGTGGAGGAAATAAAACGTGGGGATGCGATGGATGAGCGATGGAGCAAGGGAATTTAGGGGAGATCCATTTCCGCTCAGCCCCACTGCATGAAGAGAAGGAGTCAGCCGTGGGAAGACCACACCTCTCTAGACACAGTGTCTCCTAACTGCTTACCTGCTGGGCTTGAGGGCTGAGGGCGAGAGGAGAGGAGGGATAAAGGCAGGCTTCATGGAAGAGGAAACTTTGGGCAGAGTTGTAGAAAATTCACACGGTGGGGTAGGGGGGAGGGGAAGCATGTGTGAGAGCCTGGGGATGGAGGGAGATGAAGGAAGAGAACTCTTCAGGAACTCAGAGTAGTCCTGGTGGCTGGGGGGACGGGGGGGTGATGGGAGCAGGCACACCAGGGGAGAGGGCTGGAAAGAGTTCAGTTAAACCTTGCAGGGCCTTGAAAGACGTGCTATGTGATTACGCTTCGTGTATTTGTGGGTAATGGGGAGCCAGCGAAGGTTCTGAGCAGGGCAACGATGTGGTCAGCTCTGCAGTGTCTGGACGTCTGAGCTTTCCCATCCCTGTCTCAGGAAGCCCAGGCCCCCTGCCGGCCTGCTCATAGAAAGGGCCACCCCCAAGGGCATCCAGGGGGTCCTGACCAGAAAGGTGGTGCCACAGAGCGTGAGGGGATGGGACATGGAACCAGGAAGACAAAAGCTTGAGACCTGACTTTGAGACCTGTCATCTTCTAGCTGTGTGTTCTCAGGCAGATTATTTAACATCTCTGAGCCTTGTCTTCTCATGCAAAATGAAGACTAATAATAGATCTTCAGAGTCATGAGAATTAAGTGAGATAACGCACAAAAGCGTTTTATAACCACGTTTGCTTGGAATATAGTAGCTTCTCAAGAAATCATCATTACTACTGTTTCAAGTGTAAGTAAAGGACATCGAGTTTATCTTTTCAAAAGCCTTTCTAGATGTCATGTCTGGTGCCTTCAATCCACACTTGTTCTCTGACATTTACAAGCAAACCCTGTTTTCAGAAAAGCAATCGCGCAGAGATTTGTTCCCTGGCCTGGAGATTGCTCCTCCCTGTGTGCCTTCGCTCTGCGGCCAGGAACTTTCTGCTGTAGCCCATCCACAGCCCTCAAGTCCACTTCCAAGTCCAGGCGCTGCAGGGACCACACGTGACTCAGTGGGGCAGGTTCTGCTCCATCATGAGTGACTGTGGAAATGCACTGCATCAGTCAGACCCCACCTCTTCTCTCACTTGCGCGCGTCCCAGGCATCCTACCTCTCCCTCTGACCTACTATACACTTGAGGCTGGCACGCCAGTGCAGCTGGTTTTGCAACCTGGCGCCTCAGCTGGCTTTTCTAGGAATTTCACAGGGTTCAGGTATCTGCCGGGTTCACACCCTGGCTCCAGTGCTGGCCAACCTTGTGGCTTTGGGTAAGCCACAGAGCCTGATCCGCATATCCTCACTTCCCAGGGGTGCCGTGCAGAGTAATTGAGATGATGCAAGAAAAGGTTCAGCTCAAGGGCTGCGCCGTCGTGACTGCACAGTAAACGTGAGCTGTCTTTACTGCTTTCGTTGTCATCCTTATCACCATCGTTATTACGACTACCATTATTATTAGGTTCTCAATAAAAACTGTGGAATCGTACGGAGGCATTTAAAATATACCAACACGTACTCCCCCAATTCCACGTATGAAAACCCGGGAAGGGCAGATAAACACTGGTGTGGGAAGACCTGTCAGGTCTCACCTTCAGAACAGGGCACCCAGGGGTTAGAGCCTCAATGAATCCGAGTCTCCGTAAAACGGGAACAGCAAGAGAGCCTACATGGGCCAGGGCCAGGTTAAACGAAATCAAAGCCTTTACTCAGCACACCCTGCCTTTCACACGCTCGTTGTCCCTGCTGCCGCCCGTCCGCTGTCTTCCTCAGCCCTGGTCTCTGCCGCTTCACCTCAGTGTCCACCAGACACACACACCCACACGGACACACACCCACTCACACCTACGCTCGCACACTGCCTCACACACAGAGCCTGGTGCCTAGTGACCGCCGGCCGCTCAGCCGGGGCACCCGCAGGGATCGCAGAGGGAGGGGGCCACGCACTTCCTCAAACCTGAAAAGCACCCCAGACCTCCTGCGATACTGCCCGGCAGAGGCTGCTCCTCCGTGGAGCCTTGTCTTTTCCTCCAAAATGAGGACTAGAATAGACCTTCTTCAGGTATGAGAACTGAATGAGATGATGCACAGAAGTGTCTACACCAGTGCTGGCCTGGAATACAGTCACGTCTCAAGAAACATCTCGAGAAAACCCAAGCTGGGAGTTGGTCATGGGCTGAATTCCCAGAAGGGCATTTCATCTAATTCACGTGTCTCGGGAAAGCGTGGACATCTCGCCACCAAAATCTACACCATCGGCCCGAAGGGTGAAGGCGGTGGGTCCTCCCACTCCCCTCAGGGCCTCGCCGGCTGCTAGTGTCCCAGAAGGCTGTCAGGTTGGGAGCCAAAGCCGGCCCCAGGGAGCCTCTGAATGAACTAGAACAGGCAGTCCTCTGGGTGGACGCAGCCCCGCAGGCACACAGCTGCGAGCAGAACACAGTGCAGGCTGCTGGGCTGTCACTCACCTGCCCCTCTACCCAGGGGGGACCCGGGAGCCCACGGCTGGCAGAAGACCCTGGGCCCCAGGCAGCACTGCCAGCCCAAGCCCCCCGCCGCCCCCGTGTGGTTCTTACCGGGAGAGAGGACCCTGATCAGCGGGGGGAGGCGACGGAGCAGGCCCCAAGGTGGTACTACAGGTCCCGAGTCCCAATCTGGACTCGCTCCTACGCAGGAAGACCATCCCGCACGGGGACCCACCTCATGACACTGTGAACCCCTCCCTCAGCTTAACCCGACCTTCCTTCGTCAGAGGTTTAGTGAGTATGGACGACCCGCCCGGCCCTGGGAGGCAATGGTGAGAAGTCACACCCAGCCCTGCTGTCAGGGAATGCAGGCTCGAGTGGGGGGCAAACATTCACTCCATTATCACACAAACAACTGTGCATTTCAGCAGTGACCGGCGCTAGGAGCAGAACCCGACAGCGCCATAAAAGCCTGACCTGGCCAGGGACCGCTCCCAGGAAGATGACGCTTGAGTCGAGATCCAGAGGATCAGTGGGCATCATTAAGCAAGGAGGTGAGGGGAGAGCCCTGGAGGTAGGGGGAGGAGCATGTGCAAAGATCCTGAGATGGGAAGGAATCCTGCACGTGCCGTTTAGACTGAATGGAGGTGTGTGCACATTCATGGGGCAGGAGAGCTGGAGTGGGGCCGGGCAGGACCCACATGACCTGGAGCCTGTGGTGAGGAGTCTGGATTATTCCTGGAGCCCGGGCAGGTGCTGCAGGGTTTGAAGCAAGCAGGGGTGGGATGTAGGTGAGGGATGCCAGGATTGGCTTTGCATTCGGAAGCACTCTCTGGACTCTTCTAGACTGCTGTCCAAGGAAGGACAGAGCAGAACCCGCCACCAGGAGACTTGACCTTCTCAGGGCCAGGACCCCCA